CTTTTGTGTGCGTGTGTCCCCTCCATTATACATGTATCTATATGCATAAGCAATAATAATATATCCTCAAGAGCTGGCCCGTAGTGGGAATTGTGTAGAATTAAGTGAGTAATTGGATAAACGTTGGGGAAAACAGGAATTGAAACCAAAAATGTTGGACCAAGTCAACTCAATATAGAATTCGTACACATGTCCAGAAGCAACCCCAAATTATAACATTTCCATACACGTACAGGACCTCCACTTACATATTCAAATTTATAATTAAAAAAATAAATTAGCTTTTAACAATTTCTTCAATCTGTAATATTTTGGAGCTGACTTATTCGAATCGACTTTTTTTCAAGCCCAAATTATGTATTTAATTACGATCTATCCAACGAAACCAATATTCATATTCTTATCATACTCGGTCAAAATCTAAATATATGACCCAAATAAAATTTGAAATTGCAATATATCATTTTAGTCCCTAACTTTCCAAAATATAAAAATATAGCACATAGAATAATTAATTTTTTTTTTTTTTTGGGACTTTACAGTGCGAGTGGAAAATGGAGTGTGGGATATCGGCGCACCTCACCAATTTTCAATATTCCATGATCATATTAATGTTAAATGCTTTGTGGTACTACCGGTAGGATGAATTGGGTTCCAAATAATAATTGCTCACTGCATTTAGATTGACCATATACACCAAGTGAGCTCACTTAATTAATGTTGAGTTTTTGAAGAAATAAAAGAAAAAGGGATATATATTGAGTTCACTACTTGTGGTAAAATGGATTCAGTACACATATAATTTGAATATTTATTTTTTATGAAATAAAGTTAAGTTTTAATTGTTCTATACTTTATAAGTACATTATTTTCATAAATTAAGTAATTAATATTTATCATGTTAAAGAAAAAAAATATAATCGTATTCCGCATTTATAATTTTAATAGAAAATTAAATGATAATACTTCAAATTTAGGCATCTAAATTTGGGGTATTACAATTAATCTCAACCACACATTCACAACAACTACCTAGTTATTATTCATGCATTTCGTTGGCACCTCTACTCATTTTCGTTATAATATACTGATAAGTTTTTTAACAAACTAACTGGTTGCAGGTATCCACTATGATACCACTTGTTAGGAAATAAATGAACGAGAATAATATGGCAATATGAAAATCAAATAATAAAGAACACAAGATTTTACGTGGAATAAATCACAAGCAAAATAGGAGAATTTACTAATATCAATAATCAATGTGGTAGAATGCAAGAATGATTTTTCAAGCAGTTTACCCATATTTATAGTGCAAAGAAGAGCCTAATATGTGGTAGAATTCAACTATAACAAGTCTAAACAATAATGGAGTGTTTGGAATAAAATATGATTTAAAAAATATGCCAAAACCGCGAACTATGTATTCTCCGGAGATGTCGAGTGGTGGCTGATTGCTTGAGTGGCTGTCTGCGGTAAGCGAAGACTTGAACTCCTATTTTGAGTGCTTGAGAGGGATCAAGGCGCCTAGCGAGTGTCGGTTCAACGTTTTCTTCTCCTTGTACGATTTCTTCATTTCTTATTGCAATTTGGACTCCTACAAGTCTTCTTCAAGTTCAACATAAATTTCAAACTCCCAATTGAATTCCAATTAGAATTTTCAAATAGAATTCGGGTCGCAACCCAATGCTAGCAAATTCAATTCACTTGCAACTAAATAAGTTTTTATCGACTAATTTTCAAATTAACTACTTGATAATAACATTATATTATAGAAAAACTTATTGAATTCTCAAATAAGTTTTTTTTGCTCTCACTTAAACGGGCACTTGAGCCTTCTCTCGCTCGATTTAGGCTCTTTTTTGCTTATTTTCATGCCTTGGATTTGTTCCTACATTATGTATATTTCGACCACATGTCATCACAACAATTTCCACGTCTCCATTTTCTTCTTTTCACAACAATTAAAAAAATAAAAATCAATAGTACTCTTACTCTAAATGACTATAAATCATGTCACAAAGTATAAGTTTTACACTAATAAAAAATTATAGTGACTTTTATAAAACCTTTTTATATACCTCTTATATTGAAAATTAATATTCTTGATGTATGGTCCTAGAAATCCTTTAGAAAAGTGCATTTAACGTCTATTAACTTAGCCGTCGAATAACTTACAACGAAATACCACGTTGTTGGAATTCCATTGCTATTTATTCACTGTTATCATGTTTACTTCGATAACATTAATAAAGAAAAATAATTTCATCATTATATAGACATGTCGGATATAACATTTTGTTTGTTTATTAATAAATAATTTACTCATGTTGTTATCTGGGATGGACCATGAATTCCACATAAGAAAGCTCAATTTCATATGAAATTTTATTCTTGCAAAGATAAAATACAATTTATTCAGAATGACACTAGAAATTCGAAATGACACACAGCATGACTTTCATTACACATCCCCACGGAATTGTTGCAGTGGAATTGGTTCAACAATTAATGAAGTTAAGTCCTTTTTAGTCTGGAGATGAGGAACTCCAAATCCATCTCCATACAGGTAAATGCATCGAGAAATCTTTGCCAGATTAAGTGCAGGACCAACTAAATCCTTGAAGGAGCAGTCCATTAGTATATCTTTATTCAATTTCTTCAATGTCACATCTACTAGATTCTGAATGTGGTCTCTAGCATCCTCTTCGGAACAGCCTGTGTCATTCATGTAACACTGGATTGATTTTGGAACATCACCTCTCTTGAGTTCATCCTGGAATATATATTTGAGTTCAAATATTCATAAAATATCATGTATCAATTGTTATAATTGTATTGTATCTAAGAAAAATTATGTTTCATATGCAGTATCGTACGAGACAAATTAACTTTGTTTTTCTTATTTTAAAATGGACTGTATACCAAACATAGAGTTAAGAGTCGAGTTTGCTTACAGTCGAAGTTCCCAAGTCATCTATTAGACGAAGAATCAGTGATGGCCAGTGAATGATACCGGGTTTTTGCTCCAGACGTCCCAGATCCTTCTTTGTTAATGGGTTTATTGTGGTAACAAAAGCATGAAAAAGAAGCAAAGGTCCTGTTGAGGATGTCACGGCTATGTTGAGGTACTCACTCAGGCTGGGAAAATACCCACTGTTATACCATCTAGCTTCTATCAAATAGAGTCTACAAAGCTCCGCCCACTGATGGATGTAAAAATTATAATCAGAGATATATGTATATTGATCAAGAATTAATAATTTTTAGCATGTAACATTTAAAAAAAAACTATCACGAGACATAAAAGTAGAATAAGGTATAGAGAGAAAAATGATTATACCAATTTCCTGGCGTTTGGGATTATGTTGAAATTATGCTCTTTAAGAACATCGTAAGCCATTTCATTAATGGAGTTGAAGAGAAAAAGGAAACAAATCCTCAAGTATTCTGGAAGCTGGTCTAATGCATTGATGTCCCACCTGATATACCAAAAAAATAAAGATTTTCCTGAGGGAAAGGATTAAAATGTGTTAAATGCTTTGAGGTGGGTCCATGTGAGAGGGTGTAGGCCCCTGTAAAAAGGGATTAATCCATAGAACAATCTCGGCCTATGACAGTTTGTATAGTGAGTTGACCAGTTGTTACAATAAAGCCGTAATGAAAAATTCTAGTTGTACAATCGAAGTTGACAACCTCTCACATATGTGTGGAGTTTACATGTTTAAAAAATTCAAAAAGAAAAAATTGAACCCCCCCCCCCCCCCCCCCCC